CTTATTTTTACTCACTGAAACATCCAGAAAAGGTAAACAATCATTGATCTCAATTGCATAATTAAATCTTATAGAATTATCAGTGTTATTAAGGTAATTAGCAAAATTAGCTAGTTCATCTTTACCATAGCACCAAATCAAAAATGTGCCATCCACATACCATAACCAAACTTCAGGTTTTTTATCTGCTTTTTTTAGTGCTTCACTTTCAAAACTGTCCATAAATAAATCACACAATAACGGAGATAAAGGAGAACCCATAGTTAAACCCACGTTCTGTTTATAAACTTTACTATTAATTTGGAAAAATGAGTTTTCAACACATACTTCTACCAGGTTAATTATATCCATTATTTCTAAGACTAAATTATTATTTTCTTTCATTTTTTTCCAAAACATTCAATAGCTTTTTTCACTGGTACATTGGTGAACATTGACATTACATCAAATGACACCAAAATATCTTTTGGATCTAAAATTATATGCTCAATTCTTACAAATTCATACTAATTCTTAACTGTGTATTTATTTTTATCCCTTAAAAAGGAGAATTTTTTATATATAAATTCTGCTACATTATAAGATGAACTCTAAACATTGGATACAATAGGTCTGAAATTATTACCAATCTTATGAACTTTAGGCAAGGCATATAATCTAGGTAAAATAAAGTTACTTGGAGTTAAACTTTGCTTTTCATAAGATGTTAGTTATACAACTCTTAATTTTTTCTTTAACTATTGTATGGAGTTTATTTATAGGATTAAGTTTAATGTTCTCATATGGACATTCTTTCAAAATTTCTTCAACTTTAGAATCGTAATCATTTTTATTAAGAATAACAGTTTGTTCCCCTTTATCAGCCTTGCAAATGACAACATCTTGTTCCTTTAAATTTTTCAAAATTTCAATCCTTTTTTATTATTATTTTTGAACTTAAAAGTATTTAATAAAGTGAAACATTCACTTCTAATAACATGAGCTTTTTCATCATTTAATTTTTTCAAGTTAGTCTCAATTTCAGTTATGATATCTTTATTAAAACCTTTATTTGGACCGAATGAGCAATTTAAAATATCTGTTTAAAACATCAATCTGTTTATCATTTAGATTTAAATCAGATTTATATATAACTTTAGGGTTATTTAAAATACTATTGTACTTATCTGGCAATGAATCTAGTTTATAATGTTTTATCATTCACTTCTTTCTTCTGAATTAATAAAGTTTTTAACTTTTTTGTCCAACGTAGCTTTACATGTAGCAATATTTTTGTGTGTATTTACCCATGACTTCCTTTCCCATTCCGTCCAGTTTTCATCCATTTCCTTATATAGAGCTAAGTGCAATAAATACACTCTTTTTTTTCTTTCTCGGCTATGAAACTTCTTTTTTGTCGAATTACAATATTCAGTATCTTTTTTTTAATCTTCTCAAGTTGATACTCCACTTTCTTGTTTTTAATATTGCAATCCAATTTTAT